ACATTAGCTTGTTGTGTATGTCAGCTTGTCATGTGGGCTTGTGTAAGAGGAAATCAAGAATGGCCGTAGACCACAGGGCAGTCAGTCTCTCACTGAGCAGCCATCAGCCAGGTACCCCAGGAAGAGCAAACGACATCTCCTCTCCTAGGCACGCAGTCACCACAGGCAGCGGATGGAGGGCGAGGTTCTAACCTAAGGTTGAGTGTTGGCATTGACTCTGGCCTCACAGGCACCCTTCTGTGGAGAAGGCTTCAGGGGGCCCCACAGAGAACCCATCCTAAGGTGGTAGTGGGGTACCCTTAACCTCTGCACCTTCATCTGAGAAGAAATGCCTCCTTGGGCTGCACGAGCTCTGCGGGGGCTCCAGGTCAGTTACAAAGAGTTAGCAGAAGTGCTGCTTCCTCATCGAGTAACAAGTAATTAGTTGATTTAAAAATAATTATATTTAGTGATGGGTCCCTGAAAGGATTTTTGTTGTTTAGGCCCCACATGTTAAAAAAGCAATGGCTGGGGTCAAAAGATTGCTTAGTTAATAAAATGCTTGCCTTGAAAGTATGAGTTTGATCCTCAGAGTCCATATCTAAAAAACAAAATAAAATACCACTGGGTGGTGGTGGTGCACGCCTTTAATCCCAGCACTTGGAGGCAGATCTCTGAGTTCGAGGCCCGCCTGGTTTACAGAGTGAATTCCAGGACAGCCAAGGCTACACTGAGAAACGCTGGCTGGCCAGCCTTGTGATTTACAAGTGAGAGACACCATCTTAAAACCAGAAAAAGTGTATGGCATCTATAGAATGACGCCTAAGGTTGACCTCTGACCTCCACACATACACACACACACACACACACAAGTGCACACAAAAGTACACACATACTCTCTCTCTCTCTCTCTATCTCACTCACACGCACACATTCACACTGTGATGAAATACATAGACTCCACAGGTATGACAGAATCTGAATTTTGCACGAGCTCTTTATGTGATTCTGACACATAGCCAGACGCTGAGACCACTGGATAAACTGCCCAGAGCCCATCCCAGTTCTCACGGCACCGGATTCCATGCGTACGTTTACCAAGCCCTCAGCACCAACTCTGCCATGATGCCCTAGAATCGAACCAGAGGCTGACAGGACCAGGGTGCACTGGCTTCGTCCACTGAGGCTGCTGGTTGTCGTGAGCCTGAACACTGGAACTGCCATTTCAGAAAGGAGCACACGGCATCGGCTGTCATTCTGACAATCACCACACCACCAGGGCGTCAGGGTTTGAGGGGACGATGTCACACCAGCTCTGACAGACCCCCAAATGTCTACAACCACAATCACCTCTGCATCTTAAAAGATAAGTGGCCGAGGACTGCCAAAAGTCTACAACCACAATCACCTCTGCATCTTAAAAGATAAGTGGCCGAGGACTGCCAAGGAGAAAGGAGTGGCTGGCGAGGTGCTCTTGTGGGTAAGGAGAGTCCAGCAGGAGCTTCAAGCCGCCTTATCTGTCATCAAGTGTAGAGGAGAGGCTGCTCGGCAGGGTCAACAGTTGTGACTTCCTGTAACTAGCTCTGCTGGCAGGCAGGCAGGCCTGACAGCAAGCAGGGTCAGCATGAATGGAAAGAATGACAGTGTGTCCTTCTACCTTCCTGAGGCCGGGCTGATATGGAAACTGGCTGGCCGGGGGACGATGGAAAGTATGAACACATTCTTGCTTAGGGTTGAGTGACTGGATGAATAAGCAGCCTGGGGCCCGTGCTAAAATATCACTGCAGCTCTCTCTGCTGGCTAGGATCCAGTCATGTCCTTGCTGGGGCCCATGGGACCCGAGGAAGTGCTTGCAAAAGTAGCAGGGACAGGATCCTTGGAACTAGAGTCGGGAGCAGTGGGTGTGGCGGCTGCCTATGTAAATGCCCACAAAGCACCCAGCAGGCAGCAGGTACTGTTCCTTCTGCTCCCCACCTTGGTGCCGGTCTCAGGACTGTCAGGGCTCTGCAACTTTGGTCCCACTCTAGGGACGAGAGAATGGCTGGCTCAAGACTGCATAAAGCAGGGAAGACTCCTAGAACCTGCCTAGCTAAGGCCTGCGACCGCCCCTGTCAGGCACACACTGGAGAGCCAGCGAAGCACTGGGAGGCAAACGCTGCAGGGAAAGCCTGTGAACCGGGCTGGGGAGAGTGGTGGTAGATAAAGCCAGGAGAGCCAGGGAAAACTAGACCTAACGAAAGAAAGACACAAGCCAGGCTTGTGTCTCCACAAGGCAAATATTCCTCAGACTGAAGGAAGGAGTGCCAGCAGAGGGGATGGCAGAGGAGAGAAGAGAGTCCCATTCCCTGAGCTTCTAACTCCCGTCCACTTAGGAAACCAGATAGAAACCGCAAACAAACCGCAAAGATAGGTAGCTGTCACTGCCAGACATCAATGCCTTTGACTCTAAGAAAAACAAAACACACAAAAAGACAAACAAAAAAACAATCAAACAAGAAAAGCAAAACACTGACAAGGAAAAGTTTGCGTCACAAGGAGAACAGAAGCAGGCATTTAGGGGAAGTTGGGAAAGTGGGAGATAATGGTGGGGAGGAGGTGGGGCCTAGAACTGACGGCGACCCTCCAGCTAGGAATTCTGCCCAGACTCTTGGCTTAGCAGGCCCTTCTTCCCAGCTGTGTCCCGAGGAAGAAGCAAGGACCCTCAGGCTTTCCCCAGCTCAGGGCCCAGCTGAGCCTCGGGAGACGGTTCTGCGCTCTCAGCTGTTGACACCTCGGGCTCACTGTCCACAGGAGGACATTTATCAGTGAGGCATCTATTCGAGACCCAGGTGCTGTCTTAGGTGCTGGGTGCTGACACTTCAACAAAAGTTCGTGATGGTGTGTTAAGGGGTGACCCGTGCCACAGGACAGCTAAGAAGGTCAAAGTGGAGGGCGGTGTGCTGCTGGTGAGGGCTGTGAAGGCCTGCCTGAGAATGCATTCGGGACTCAACAGCAATGTGTGGGGAGGAAGAATACTCTAGGAACCGAGACGGCACCCACCACAGTGGAGCAATAGTGAGAGGGCAGAATGGCCCTGCCATGCCAGAAGCGGAGCTGAGGAGGCTCTGGAGGCAGAGCAGCAGGTCAGAGACACTCGTGGGAGAGGAGCTGGAGAGATGGCTCAGAGGATAAGAGAGCTTGCTTTTGCAGAGGATCTAGGTTCAATTCCCGACCCACTGCAGCTCACAACTGCCTACAACTCCAGTTTCGGGGAATCTGATGACCTCTTTTGGCTTCCCTAGGCATACACCATATGCACACACACACACACACACACACACACACACACATGCATGTATAGGCAAAACATTTACACACATAAATAAAAGAAATATATATTTTTAAAAAGATGCTGAGGCTGTTGGGGGCTGGAGAAATAGCTCTGAGGTTAAAGGCATGTGCTGATGTGCTGCTCTTACTAAGCACGGGAGCTCCCAGCCCTCACATGAAGCAGATAACAGCTCCATAGCAACAGTTCTAGGGTGATCTGATGCCCTCTTCTGGCTTCTGTGGGCAACTGCACTCACATATACTGCCCCGCCCCCCCCCAACACACACACACACACACACACACACACACACACACACACACACCCCATAAGCACATACACATACTTGCACCTGCTGTTTATTCCGGAACTAATACTGTTTGCTAATAAAGTCCTGCAGGTATTCTGACTTGGCCCTTGGAGAGCTCAGGTCACCATCATGGTTGAGTTGAATCCTTGTCCCTCTGTCCCCAACTACAGTTTGGCTCATGCGAGGTCATCCGCAGGCCTCATGTTTGAACACCTGGTCCCCAGCTGCCAGCACTGTTTAGGGACAGGTGGTTTTCTTTGCGAGAACCTGTGCATCCCTGGGTGGGGGCGGGCCTTGGAGGCTATAGCCTTTTCTTATTCTAGCCAGAGCTTTCTGCTCTCTGACCTTCTGAGACCTGAGAAGCCACTGCCATGTTTCTGCCACCACAGACGAGCCCACTTCTGCTGCCACTCCTCACTTGCCATGTGGATTGTGCCCCTGAAGCCATGAGCCAGAATGAATCCTCGTTCCCTAAGCTGTGGCTACTGCGTATCTTGTTGGAGCAATTATATGCACAGCTTGTACACAGCTTCCAATATAGCACTGAAGCCCTCACCACGAGGGCTGCAGCCTGAGTGTCTGCTGCCTTAGAAGAGGGAGAGGGGTGGAGGTTAAAACAGGGTCACTAAGTGGGTCTGGATTCAACCTGTTATCTCTACAAGACAGAAAATGCTAGGGCAGCCGGGCGGTGGTGGCGTACGCCTTTAATCCCAGCACTCGGGAGGCAGAGGCAGGCAGATCTCTGTGAGTTCGAGACCAGCCTGGTCTACAAGAGCTAGTACCAGGACAGGTTCCAAAACCACAGAGAAACCCTGTCTTGAAAAGAAAAAAAAAAAGACAAAAACAAACAAATAAACAAACAAACAAAAAAAGAAAATGCTAGGGCACACAAAGGTCACTAGATGGACGGTCTGAGGATACGGGGAACAGAAAGCAGCCTGTTACACAGCCACCAGAGAGGCCTAACCTGCTGTTGCCTTGACCTCAGATTTCCAACTTCCAAATAAAGAGAAGGTTCTGTTGCTTAAGCTGCCAGAGTCTGGCATTCTGTTCTGTCTATAGGTTGATCTATAACTTAGAGCCCACATGGTCAGAGCAGCTACTGCAGAGCCCCAAAGTCTATCCATTAACATATCCACCCTGCTTCATTCATGCACGCATGCGCGCACGCACACATGTGATATGGGCAGCAGTCTCCTTCTACATGCATGCACACATGAATTCATACAGAAGCAAGGTTCATGGGTCTCAGCAATCATAATAACAAAGCCTAACCAAGAGCTTTGGCTTCGGGGTACACCTCCAAACCTGATGGAGGAAGGTCATTGGTTAAAAAAATAAAGAAACTGCTTGGCTGGCCCTCATAGGTTAAAACATAGGTGGGAGGAGTAAACAGAACAGAATGCTGGGAGAAAGAAGCTGAGTCAGAGAGTCGCCATGATTCTCCCACTCCAGGCAGATGCAGGTTAAGATCTTTCCTGGTAAGCCAGCTCGTGGGCTACACAGATTATTAGAAATGGGTTAGGTCAATATGTAAGAGCTAGCCAATAAGAGGCTGGAACTAATGGGCCAGGCAGTGTTGAAAAGAATACAGTTTCCATGTAATTATTTCGGGGCATAAGCTAGCCATGCGGGCGGCCGGGTGCCGGGGACGTAGCCCGCAGCTCCCTATCTCAACACAAACCCCTCTAAACGGCATCTCTGGGGGGTGAATGCTGTTTCCATGTCCCATCCCAGCATGCAGCAGCACTGGCACCTTCCCTGGCTCTGGCCCCAGGCCACTGAGCTTTGCCCATTGAGTCCCATTGGAGCCTGGCCTGTGGCTGGTCAGTTACATCCTTGATGCCCCTGAGTGCCAGGCACTGTGAAGGGCTTACAGGAGGACTAGAAGATGCCTGCCCTGTGCAATTGTCCCTCAGTATCTGTAAGGAAATGGTTCCAGAATCCAAACCCTCTGGCTCCCAGGTACCTTATGTAGACTGTGGTAGCATCTGAAAGTAACCTATGCACATCCTCCTAAACGTTCTAAGTGCCCACGCTGGCACACAGCTTTCCAGTCGGGCACAGTGGCACAATTAGTCCCTGACAGTGGTAGCCAGTCACATGCCCCGTGGCTCTGTCATCATCTTTGGATGATGCTAAAAATAAAATAAAATAAGACTTGGTAAGTCCTAGGATCAGTTCTGGACCGCTGTTCTGAACACAACACTGGTGGCTGGTTCAGGCAGAGGGGGCAAAGTCCCTCTTCCCAGTTCAAGGCAGAGATGGAAGTCAATATTGAAACGGGGCAATGTGTACCAGCACACGCAGGCCCAACTCCTGGCCTCCGCTCCACGAGAGCCACTGTCCTGGGTCTGGAAACATCCCTGCCACTATCCCTTGTCAAGACCCAAGTCTTGTCATAAGTAAGGACTCATTTATTACCAAACCACAGGTTCAACCATCTGTACCTGTGTTCTTCAATTCCAGGGGGGAATAAAAACACACTTCCTGGCTGAGGTCGTCTCAGCTCTGCCCAGATTTTCCGATGTAATGTCCCTAGCATGTTCTAGTGACTGACTCTGAGGCATCAATCTGCAATTATAGGAAAACCTTGTGGCTTGACTTAATTAGCATGCAGGAGGCCATGGGATGGGGCCTTAGCGCTAGGTCCACGGGAAGAGAACACGGGTAGGAACTGTTCTGCTCACCAATGTCCACTGCACTGAAAAAGATGCTTGCACGCTCCTCCCTGAGACAAGCTCAACCCTCCCCTGCCGCATGTCTACAAAATCTGCCCCTGGCTTTCCATAACTGATGGTCTCCACCTTGCTAGGTCCCAAAAGCTCAATTACAGGACGATCTCTAAGAAACCTCAGACACACTCACATTTCAGCGAAAACGCTGGGGATTGGCGAGTTCAAGTGTTTCAGCCTAATACGAGATGGCCCTCACCCAACTGCCTGCCACCAGTCGCCAGTGCCTGTAAGTGCCAGGTCAGGGGCCCTGTATGACTCTCAACACACCGGTGGGCTGGGCCATCCGGAATCTCAGTCTTCCATGTGGGGGTTAGGAAGCATGGGTAGGCAAGGCGGACACATCTGCCGCTTCCCTCATCAACAGTGCACTCAGCAGCCTGCACTGGAGCAGGGGACCATCTGCAGGAGACAGGAGGGTGGCTCTACCATCAGGCCCACTGCTGCAGGGAGTCCAGAGGGAACCAGCCTTAGTAAACAGATGGAAGCAGTCCAGAATGCTGAGCCAGATCCCATCTGCCCTCAAGGGATCAGCCAGAGGAATGGTTTATGCCCCAGGGTGACCAATGCCCCAGACAGACCCAGAATCCTACAGTAAATAGGAAGGCAGGCTAGTGTTCACTCAGTCTGAATTATAGAATTAGAAGGGAGGGGATGGGTAAAGTGTGCGCATACATATTTGTTCAGCGTCATGGGCAAGCGACTATATTCTGAGGTGTTACAAACAGACAGGGAACAGAAACGCCCCCCACAGACTTTAGAGGGTGTCTCTCCTGGCCCTGGAGTCAGATGCGGATCTCCTAGAATAAACAAACAGAAGCCGAACAGATGAAGACTCTGAACTGCCCACCCACAAGAGGCAACAGAGCCGCAAGCAAACACATGTACGAGAACAATCTTGCTGTCTGAGAAAAATAGCGTTCTGTGGCAGCAAAGGGGAACAGCCACGCTTTAGGGAGCCCGTGGCCCTGGAGTGTGATGTGGGAGTGTCCTAGTGATGTGGGAGTGTTCTAGTGATGTGGGAGTATCTCAGTGATGCAAGAGTATCTCAGTGATGTGGGAGTATTTCAGTGATGTGGGAGTATCCCAGTGATGTGGGAGTATCCCAGTGATGCGAGAGTATCTCAGTGATGTGGGAGTATCCCAGTGATGTGGGAGTATCCCAGTTTCTCTTTCTGTTTCTGTGATCAAACACTGACTAGAGCAATATAAGGGAGAAAGGGTTTGTTATGGGCCACAGTTCACGGTATAGTTCAACATGGTGGGGTAGTCAAGGCGACGGTAGTTTGAAACAGCTGCTCACATCATGTCCACAGCTGGAGGCAGGAAAGGATGCACAAGAGCAGCTAGCTGCTCACTCCCTTTCTCCAGCTGCACAGTGAAGGATCCCGGCCAGGGAAATGGCGCCACCCAGAGTGGGCGGGGCTTTCCACCTCAGTTAATGCAATCACAGACAAGGCCAGAGAACCCTCCCCCAGGTGACTCTAGATTCCAGAAGGTGACAGTTAACACTGACGGGCACAGGAGGCACGGAGCAGGACACAGTGCAAGGGACTGGAAGTGGACAATGACAGAGGCAGCCAAATGCTTGAGAAAAAATGGTGCAGGTTCTAGTCTTTGGGCATGTCCTCCAGGCTTTAGCGTCCTCATTGGGAAATAGGAGGGATCAGAACAAACCAGGGTAGACTGGATGCAAAGGGTGGTAAGAATTTGAACTCTGAAATAAGACAACGGAGTTCCATATCTGCCCCCCTCCTTCTTGGCTGTGCAATACCATCCAGTGACCCTCCCTCCAGAGGCCCAGACTCCTCCACCCACAGAACTGGGAAAGCTCAGAGGACGAGCTGGGAGGGACACAGAAGGGTCATCTAGGAGGAAGGGAAAAGACTGACTGCTGCAGCTCTCCGCCTCAAGGCTTCTCCCTGCTCGCTAACGGCCAGTGAGGGGGGGGGGGGATAGAGCAGGGTGAAGTGCTGAGGTGCTCGTCTCCTAACGGGACGGAGAAGGGGAGGACGAGAAGGAAGAAAAGAGCAGGGGGCGGGAAAACTCCACAAAGACAGCATTTGTGTTTCAGTTAGAAGGCTTGTTTCCAGACTGTGCTAGGGGCCCCAGGATTTGTTATCTGTGATATTCATTGATTGACACATCACAGTTCATGGGGTCCCTATATCTGTGTTCTCTGCACCTTATTTTTTAAATGTGCTTTAGTTCCTAAGTTGCTATCAGCTTTGAGTAAAGGTCATGTCCACATTAAGTAGCCTTTTAACAAAGTCCTGTGGGTGGTGGTGGCACATAGCTTTAATCTCAACACTCAGGCGGTACAAGCAGGTAGATCTCTGAGTTCACAGTGTTTGGTTGAAAGCATCACCTCAGCTCCCTAATACCCCTTTATACAAAGAGTCCAGACTGTTTGGCTGGGGGCTTCACCCCAGCTCCTGGCATAAGCTCCCTCTCCTGAGAGTTGCCTCAATCCAAACTCCACCTATGAGAAAGCCCGCCAAACAGTAACACCACCCCCAAGGCCAAGACCACTCCCACAGGCTATTTAAACCCCCACCCCCACCCCCCGAGAATGAGCACAGGGTCTCAGGGTTTTGTGTGGTCTCCCCTTCTACCTCTTCCCCTCTCCATGTTCCGGGCCACCCGGGAGCACTCCATTAAATATGGTTTAATTTGGTCTGATTGGATTATCTGCATTGGTGCAGAGGCTCATCTAAGACAAAATACCTAACACACAGAGTCAGGATAACCAGGGCTATACAGAGAAACCCTGTCTTCCTAACACACAGAGCCAGAGTAACCAGGTCTATACAGAGAAACCCTGTCTTCCTAACACACAGAGCCAGAGTAACCAGGGCTATACAGAGAAACCCTGTCTTGAAAACCAAACCAAAATAAAACAAAATACCAAAGTATCAAAATTGCAGTTTATTCTGGGTATTTCCAAATGACAAGTAATTAAGACAGTACAACACACACACACACACACACACACACACACACACACACACCTTCCTTCCCTTAGAGCTGCAGGTAGTCCTAAGGAAAATGAGGGTTACTATTTCACGGACTTAAACAAGCCATACTTGCTGGGACAATTTCAAATCCCAGCTTTCAGGAGGCAGAGACAGACAGAACTCTGCGAATTCAAAACCAACCTGGTCTAAATATCAAGTTTCAGATCAACCAGAGATACACAGTAAGACCCTAGTAGGGAAAAGTGCTATTTTTCATTTTCGTGGTGGTCTTACTCCCACTACTCCACAAAAAAAAAAAAAAAAGAAAAAAGAAACAACAACAAGACCCTTATTAAATGCCTGTAAGTAGCAAGCCCAGACATCTCTACTAATAACAGTAAACTCAGAGCACACTACATAGCAGGCCTGGCATTGTTCTCCATGTTCCTACTAGCTCCTCTCATCCTCAGTGGCCCCTCAGGAGGCTGTCACACAGCAGCCAAGTTGCTCCCCACAAGTGACACTGACAGCAGCTGGTGACTTGTCTCGGGGGCTCAGCCTCTTCTTTCCACGTGGGGTGGCCCTTGAGATGACAGCGCTGGCTGAGGAAGGGACTCACGCATAAGGAAGGGTGGGCTCCAATGCGTGTAGTTGCGCACATCTTGATTGTATTCCTGCTCTCGAGATAATTATCCAGGTAGAATATACAGCAAGAAGCCCCGGAAGTGGGAGCGCCTGTCGGAGTAATCCCGGCACCAATTAGTTAGTAGGGAAACGAAGGGTCAGGAAATAAATGAGGAAACAAACACACAATGGTGGCCTAGCACGGAACCGCGGGGAACCAGGGGGACATGGTCACCGTCAGTACAATGAGGGCTGTGACGGAAGCTCGGTCAGTATCTGCTAAGTGGCTCCCATTTCGATGCTATCATAAATGCCACCATGGTAGCTCCCACAGCATCCCAGTGAAATCCTGGTTGAGCCCCTAACCTGAGAATCTGAACCGCTTTCATTGGATTTGTAAGGCTGTTCAACTGGTAAAGCTATGCCAACATCCCAAACACACAAAAGCTCCTGATGGGGCCTCAATCACCTCTGATCCCAAGCATTTCAACTAAGAGAGACTCTCCCCACGCAGAGGGGACCACTTGGGATCCCAGGTGCTACCCCATCTGGTGTTAGGGGGCCACTTGTTTGTTTCCCGGCTGCCCAGCCCCAAAATAACCACACAGAAACGGAATTAATTAAACCACTGCTTGGCCCACTAGCTCTAGCTTATTTGCTAACTCTTACATCTTAATTTAACCCATTTCTATTAGTCTGTGTATCGCCACGTGGCTGTGGCTTACTGGGTACCGGGTAAAGTTCCTTCCAGCTCCAGTGGGGCTCCATGGCTTCTCTCCTCCTTCCGCCTCCTTTCTCCCGGCAGTTAGTTTAGTTCCTCCCCAGCCCGCCTACCTGGGTTCTGCCCTATCAACAGGCCAAGGCGGTTTCTTTATTCACAGAGCGTCACTGCAGGACACATGTCCCCTGCTGTTGTCCTCTGCACTAAGTACAGAACTCCTTGCTGACACACGGCTCTACCACAGCCCACTTTACTCCACATCACTCCCAAAGCTCCGTCCTGTTTTTTACCTAGACTAGGAAACTACACGCCTTCTCAAACGGGCCTGAATCACCTTCCAGCCACCTGCAGGTGTGCAGGGCAGCCCTGTGATGGATTCTGGTCGGGCCTGCTTTTAGGAGCTGCCAAGGTTTACAGAGCACTGGCAATGCCTACCTGAAAACCACAGGTTAGGAAGCAGGAAGGAAGCTGAACCCACCCCTGCGTCCCAGAATCTCAGTCCCAGTCCAGGAGGATGTCACAGGGTTCTCTCCCATGTGAGTGAGCAGGTCTAAGCACGGAGCTCTGGCGACCCACCTGGGACACAAGCTTTCCCTTTGAGAGTACTCACGTTAGCGACCTGACACAGGACGCTGCTCAGAATGCCCTGGCGCTTGTGAACTAGTGGACATTTTCACGAGTGAGTTCTCTGATATTTTATTGTGGGGGTCATGGTGTTGGCATGGAACCCGAGGCCTCGCTCATGTCAGGCAAGCGCCCTACCAGGGAGCTACATCAAGTCCTAATTATTTATTCTGATTACTTATTCATATTATTATTTTTTTAAAGTCAAGTTTTTGGAAAGAAATTTCCTAAACTGTGTCAGGTAACCGTTGGAACAGGAGGATGACTCCATTAGGAGGGTTCCCCTTCAGGCAAACTCTACTCTCCTGCCTCAGCATCCAGTCAGCAGCCAGCCTGCCCCTAGCAGGGAAGGAGGGGCTTCCTGCTGGCCTGCTTTCTGCTAGGAGACAGATGGTGTCTCTCCCCTTTGAAGCCGAATTTACGAATCTGTCTTTGCAGTTCTGGGCATGACTGCTGCCAGCTTCCTCAAGGGAAAGGCATGCCTGAACAGTCTTCCGTCAACAGGGGATCCAAGGAGAACTCAGAGGAAGTTACTCCCTCTGGTGGTGACCACGGAACAGCACAGGTACAAATCTCAGGCAGGGCACCTTGTTCTTTTAACAGTGGCCTGGAGACAGCCTGAGCTCCTTTGTGTAGAATAGGAGAGAAGTCTCTACTGGACCCAGAAATGATGGAGCTGCCCACCCTAGGAGGCTCCAGGTCTGCCCACATCTGGTGAGTCACCTGGGTCTCCGTTTTTCCCAGACAAATGCAAGGTGAGGGTCGCAGGACACTTCTTCCCGTGGGCTCTGCAGGAACTGTGAGATTCAGTGATGCTTGCTGATTTATAAAGAGAAGTCACCTTTGTCTAGAAGATGAGCAGATAACAGCATCTCCCCCAGAAGGTCATAAGAAAGATCGGAAAGGGTGACACTCATACAGAGTTGACACAAGACATAAAATGCTAAATCCATGTACTCAGAGTTAGTTTTGGAATTGCTAATTCTATAGTTTGCCACCCAAACTGGGAAGGTGTGCACTGAGAACACCCTTGCCCAGAGTAGTGGCAGCCACCTGGAGTCTCATTTACTTAGGAGGCTGAAGCCAGAGGGTTGTCTGAGTTGGGAGCTGGAGGGCAGCCTGGCCAACACAGTGAGACTTTCACACATACACAGACACACACAGACACAGACACACACAGACACAGACACACACACACAGACACACACACACGCGGAGGAAGAAGAACTAATTTCCCCAGGCAATAAGCATAAACAAGGTGGACAGACAGCTACTAGCCATCCTCTCAATAAGGTAAACCTGCCCTGACATTTGGAAAACTCTCCACTGTCAGACTTTAAACAAATGTCATTCTAGTGTTTTGACAAATCTTCAGACAGCAGCGGGACCACTTAATCTAGGAGGGCTGGGATCACTTAAATCCTCACTGGTGTAAGATCATCAGATTAATTTTACATGAATTTCCAAAATCAATTAAAGGCACAAAGTTTAAGTGTCTAGATTCATCATCCTTTAGCCACAAACTAACAATACAAGACAGAGGGAGGAGGAATGGGGTGGGGGGAGAGTAGATAGAAAGCTGGGGGAGGGAAGGATGGAAGACTGGGGGAGGGGATGGATGGAGGGCTGGGGGAGGGGATGGATGGAGGGCTGGGGGAGGGGATGGATAGGAGGCTGGGGGAGGGGGTGGATGGAAGGCTGGGGAGGGGATGGAAGGTAGGTGACCTGAATAGAGGACAGATAGAACGTACTGAACACACAGCATCTTGAGCAGATTCTAACTGGGGAAAGTCTGACTGAACCTGTGGATTTGGGGAGCAGGGAGCAAGCGAGCTATGGCACCCACAGGGAGAATAGTGCACTGTGGTTCTGGAGCTAGAGATGACCTCAGAGACTCTAATCTGCTCAAACGGAGGCAGACAAGGTTTGGACAAGAAAGTAATTCACCCAGCAAACACAGTTCATCATTTGCACGGCATGAACAATATCCAAAATTAACTTTCACGTCCTCCCTATGCCCTGAGGTTTGAAGGGAGACGAAGACTGTCCGGATCAGTAGGCCTTCTTACACGAACTTTCCCGGACTTTAGGTAGAGAGCACGGTGGTCTTTGTGCAATCAAGGAGGAGGATGGGAGTTGTCTGGGCTCCCACGGCAAGTTTTGAGCTGTGCAATGCTCAGAATGTGAGTGGGACCCGAAACACTTGTTGATGAATGCCTGCATGAATGGGTGGGAATGAAATGCTGGACCCAGGTCTGCCTGGCTCCAATGTCCAGGCACTACTGAGCTTGAGCACATGACTAGCATGAGGGCTGCCACTGTCCTGACTGACCCATCAGGATCACCAACAGCATCCCTGCAAAGGAAAGGCACAGTGAAAGGAGTGACGGAGCTGCACCATGTCAATCTAGGAGTGACATGGCTGCACCGTGTCAATCTAGGAGTGGACAGAGCTGCGCGTGTCAACCCAAGAGTGACATGGCTGCACCGTGTCAATCTAGGAGTGGACGGAGCTGCGCGTGTCAACCCAAGAGTGACATGGCTGCACCGTGTCACTCTAGCGGTGACGGAGCTGCACCGTGTCAATCTAGGGGTGACAGAGCTGTACTCTGTCAATCTAGTGGTGACGGAGCTGCACCGTGTTAATCTAGGGGTGACGGAGCTGCACCGTGTCAATCTGGGGGTGACAGAGTTGTACCGTGTCAATCTAGCGGTGATGGAGCTGCACCGTGTCAATCTAGCGGTGACAGAGCTGTACCGTGTTAATCTAGGGGTGACAGAGCTGTACTCTGTCAATCTAGCAGTGACAGAGCTGTACCGTGTCAATCTAGGGGTGACAGAGCTGTACCATGTCAATCTAGGAATGACGGAGCTGTACCGTGTCAATCTAGGGGTGATGGAGCTGTACCGTGTCAATCTAGGGGTGACGGAGCTGTACTGTGTCAATCTGCACCCTATGCACAAACCAGCTCCTTCACAAAACTCCTGGGATGTTGTTAAGATGTGGATGACACGTGCAACGCCCACGTGGAACCTCTGCGTACATCACTGTCCCTCTGTGAGAGGGTGAGCCTCAAGGCCTTCTGAGTGCGTGGAAGCTGGGCGGGAGCGGGACCAACGCCGTGTGACCTAAGTCACTGAACACCACCTGAGCAATGGGACGATTTCACAAGGCTCTTGGAAGGGGAAACAAAGTGTACTACACAAACGGGCATTAACAATGCACTTGTCTCAGAGATAAACCAGAAACGCAAAGGTGGGTGGTTAGGCCTAACTGTTTGGTTCCTCTCCTCCCTATCAAATCCACATGCTGAAGCCCTAACACAGGCTGGACTGGGAGATGAGGTCTCTAAGAAAGTAATTAATCCAGGGTCCAAGGCCGGGGCCTGTATGTCTTTACAAGTTCTCAGAAAAGGCCACAGAAGTTCCCTGTCCCTACACACCAGGAAAGACCCTCTGAGGATACGGTGAGAGGGCACCATCTGTAGGCCACGCAGAGAAACTCCACCCCGGAGCCTCTGAGCTGTGAGAAAATGGAAGTCTGTCAGAGGCATTTGAGAAGGCACACTAATGCCATGATAAAGTAAGGAAAGCTGCTGTTTCTTATCATGAGTGGAAAAAAACTCCAAAATTAGCTCTCTAAATTAAATAACATTTTTGTCTTCTAATTCTAAATCCAGGCCAACCTCAAATACCTCTCTCTACTGGGTTAATTACGACTGCGGTGGGAATTTCATGCCTCGCCAGTCAAGATGCGCAACAGAGGAAAAGTACTGGGCCTTCCCGAGCTGGTCAGGGTCCAGTTTCTCCCTCCGAGTTAACCAGGTCTGACTGCCCATCCTCTGAGATGAGCCAGGGCGCTGTGGTCGCCGACGGGCGCAGTCTCCCCGCTCCTTTCAGAAGCTCAGTGACAGGTATCGACTCTCCGGAGCTCCACGGCCGCCAACTAGGCAGTTTATGTAAGCTGCGGAGGCATTCTTTTATGAAGGTGAACTTCAAAAGAAAACCAAACAAGAACGCCTTAATAAACACCTGTTTTCTGTGCCGGGGCTTGAACTTGGGGCCTTGAGCACGGCAAGTGAGAGTTCTACATTCTGGGCTCTATCTCAAGCCTGTTTTAGCAAACATTTCTAAACATCAGTAGCTCCACAGAGGCTGGGGGGGAGGGTTTAGGGGGAAAAACAAATCAAATCAAAACCAACAACCCAATAGCTATGGTGGTGGGCACCTGTGATTATAGCATTTGGGAGGTGGCGGCAGGAAGATCAGGAATTCAAGGTCATTCTCAGCTACCTAGGGAGTTGGAGGCCAGTGAGCTGCTTCCTGAGGACTGTCTGAGAGAAAGTAAGCAGGACAGCAAAGCTCCCCACTGTGGTGCTGCCCGGTGGCCTGTCTCTGGTCCTCGGGACCCATCTCCCAGCACTGCGGCCTTGCATCATGGCATTTGTAAGCATCACCTTTATTTAAGAACCAGAAATTCTACAATTAGGAGAATAGTGGGCAAATTCTAAATCAAACCTACATCTGTACCTCACTCCTAGAACAGTGCGGCAATGGCTCTCACTCTGAGCTGTCGTTAGGAGGCATGGCGGGCTCCATCCACCCTCATGTTCTCTTGCTCTGAGGGAAGCCAGCAGCCACTCTGAGCTGTTGTGGAGAGACCCAAGAACACACCCATCTTTAACCATCAAAGGACTGAGGCTCCCAGTGACAGTCCACACGAAATCTGCCTTTGCCGGTCTCCATGTAAAACACAGATGACGCCTGAATGCAGATTTGTGCCAGGCTCAGACACTGCTGGATCCCACGACCATGCCCTGTTAGTTCACCAACCATCTGTGTGAGTTGTCACGCTGGGCTTGAAAGTGATACAGTAACTCACACGTTTATTACACAGCACTGAAAACTGATACAGGAACTCACACTGAACCTTTGCTAGATCCAAGTCACCCACTCTTCCTCCCCCTCCCCTCAAACCACTATTAGCATCCCCATTTCACAGGAAGAAGAACTAGAACACAGGCTGGGTGAATGTGGCCTGCTGGAGAAAGACCTATGCTCCTACCCACTACACCACACTGCCTCCTTGTGGACAGGCCACGCCACGACTTCTAGAGACTGAATTTTATACAGCAGGAAGCCAGCCAAGCCTTGTGGTACTGATGTTCCTGGTGCTGCTGTTCTCCAGGTCCTATATTTTGACATATTTGGTTTCCCACAGAGACACGGTGGCAGCTAATCTTGGTTGTCGACTTGACTATATCTGGAGTTAACTCAACCCCAGCAGCGGGGCATACCCATGAGGAATTTTCTTGGTTGGAGTATCTGAGGTGGGAGACTCACCCTCGATCTGGATCATCTGAGGTGAAAAGGCCCACGCTAAATCTAGGCCACACCTCCTGGTGGCAGCCTTCTTGAAGGGATGTGGGAGAAGGAAGCTTGTGCTTCCTGCCAGCTTGCCTCACCCTCACTGGCAGCCTCATCTATCCTGACCCATTCACTGTGCACGGGGGTTAGGGACCACTCTTTTGGAATGCCTATGAGGAGTGAAAACCAGCACCTTTCTAGGACTTCCCTGGGACTCCGGCACCAGAGTGGTGTAAAGACGTCCAGTCTTAGCCACTGCATCCTTGGCCTTTCTGTCAGGAGACTACTTGGACCACAGCCTGTAGGCCACTCTAATAATCCTGTGTGTGTGTTTGTGTGTGTGTGTGTTTGTGTTCATTCTATCAGTTCTGCTCCTTAGAGAATCCTGGCCAATACAGGTACACAGGACACGTTTTTACCATCTACTGCTATGGGAAACCTGCTACTGTTTCCAGAACACAGCAGAATCACTCCTGGACTCATTACTTCAGTATCTGCTGGTTCTGATAGTCATTAGTATTTACAAAGGGAACTCCCCCACAGCTCTGAAAATCGGTCCTAATGACTGTGCACGAGACATGCATCATCAAGGGGGTCTATTCACACACACACACACACACACACACACACACACACACACACACACTGCACAGGAGCAATGCATTCACAGAAGCAAACCAGCCCTTTGCTGACTGGCACTGAAGACAAGACTGTGTTTTCTTGCCACCATTTTTGAGGGAGCCAAACAAAGAGACAAAGGGCGCAGCCTGAGATGCAAACCCCGAGTCAATAGCAGTCAGTCTCCTACTCTATCACGAAGCCTTTTTCTGTCACCTTATGTAAGTGTCCCCAGGATTGAAGAGCTTGTAGCTGTAGGCACAGGAACAGTTATAGCTTCTGCTATGAAGATTGCTGCAAGATTTGGTGGTGGACTGACTTGTGGGGTGGAAGAGACACTAAACGTTTAAAAAGGAAGCGGCATGGCTATCGAGTGTCCTGTTTGTGAACAGTCGGGAATCTTAAAGTTGAGGAAATAGTGCGTAAATGCTACACCAAGCCTTGCACCTAGCGAATGTGGACTTTTACGGATTATCATAGCGTTCCAAATGTGTCCAGATAAACTGAACCCACCACACCAGGGCCCAAACAACAGAAGAGAGAATGCCTGAGAGAACAAGGCTTTGCCCCCAGAATTGGCTGAAAAGTGAAAATGGCCTGAAACTACCTGGATTCCTAACTCCCTCCCCCCCCCATCCCGCCCCCAGGATGTCATATTTCCCAGACTGATGTGGGATGGAAACAGGCAGAAACATGGCTGATGTTCAACCTTGGAGTGGAAGCTGTGGACACCGGCGGTGCCTTTCCAGTTCCCCAAAACATTTCAACCATCAAATCACCATGGAATGTGGACTTGCCTACAAGTCTACCCTTGGGGACCACATGTAAGGGCAAAAGGGTAGAGGATGGTCCTTCCTTAGAGTAAACTTCCCGAAGACATGGACACTCCTGTTGATAGTCATTCTGCTTAGGCTTCAAAGTCACACAAACTGTCAAGAAAAGGGAGCCTCGGGGCAGAGAACCTGACCTCCATTACGGGCTGGAAGAAATCCAGGAGCAGGCAGGCTGGATATCTGCTTAGTCGGGACCCAGTGGTCAATTACTAGGTGTCTCTTTAAATTATGCATTGCCTCTTTCTCCCAGCCATATTTCCCTCCCACAGGGTTTCACACTGTAGCCCAAGCTGGACCACAGCTCACTGCATAGCCCTGGTCTCCTCAAACAAAAGACAATCCTCCTGCTTCAGCTCCTTCGTACAAGCCTGGGCTACCATACCTGACTGAGACCAAACCCCTTCTAGCCCAGGAAGCACTGCTTCAGACTTGGCTAAGAAAGTCACCCACTGGTCATTCCCGGCTCCCTCGCCTCAGAATGGGATTGGTTTGGAGTGTAGGACAGGGGACTTCTCAAACCTCCCTTGAGATTCCGAGGGCGGGGGAAGGGGTGGCTAGGTGGCTCAGCAGGAACAAACCTGGTGGTGTGAGCTGAGCCCCAGCACCTGGGTGAGAAACTAGAGGTGGCTCACATCTAACCCTGGGGCTCCTGCAGTGAGGTAGGAGGTGGGAAGAGACAGGAGAGCGCACAGTTCGCAGGCCAGTGGCAGGGCCTAAAGTCTGCAGAAACATGGGAGACTCTGCTTCAAAAGCAAGATGGAGGAAATGAAGGGGTTTCCAAAAGTTGTCCTGACCTCACAAACATATCCTCCCCTTCACACACAAACATGCACAAACACGCACATACACACACAATTTTTTAAAACAGATTGCAAGGAGCAGGTACAGTTGGAATCTCCTTGCTTGGGGGTGGGGTATGTATATAAAGAATTTAGGAGCCTGGCGGTGGTGGCGCACGCCTTTAATCCCAGCACTCGGGAGGCAGAGGCAGGCGGATCTCTTTGAGTTCGAGACCAGCCTGGTCCACAGAGCTAGTTCCAGGACAGGATCCAAAGCCACAGAGAAACCCTGTCTCGAAAAACCAAAAAAAAAAAAAAAAAAAAAAAAAAAAAAAAAAAAAAGAATTTAGGGCCCTTGCAAAAGCTCCTTTTATGCTGATCAGAGTATATATTATTAAAATAAAATTATCTATCATAAATCATAATCATTTTTTAAAGAAATGTGTGTTCAGTAGAAACAAATAGATTCTGTGTGATTTCCAGACATAGCCTTCAGGCAAAGCTCTGTCCATCAAATGCACATTTGTGTCTGAGACAATCAAGGCAAGCGCATGTTTCTCCACTGTCTGGAGCCCTGCCCCATGGAAGCCAAATGGGAACACTGAAACTGCCCGTTAGCTTGGTGACAGCTAGCAAAGGGAATCAACTAACCAGTCAACAGCCCAAAGCACTGGTAATTGCTTGTTGAAGGCACAGCTTTGCCTTCTAAGTAGAAACTATTTGTAGAAGGAGCAGCTAGTGCAACGGAGCATGCCCGGCAAACATGAAAGTAGCCTTATTTTAATAAATGTCTCCACCCCCTGTAACGGTATGAGTCTCTCTAGAGAGACTACTTTACATGAACAAGGATACTGTTTCTTATGCAGACATTTAACTAACAGAGTCTACTAAAAGCAAATCTCACACATCCAACTCACATATTAGCAGTTATAAAAAGTTTCAGAAATTCTCAACACGTGAGTAGTTCAGCTCTCTTGAACTCCTTCTGGTCTTTCCTGCTCGCCTACCCTGGCATCCACCCACCAGCTTTGCTATTCCTTTCGCATGGATCCCAGATAGAAAAGTCCCCTCAGGAGGGAGCTTGTCAGCCCTCTCAGCCTGTGCAGGGGCCATCCTGGGCTACTTGACCTAACTCCTCAGTGGGTATCTCTGCATCCACACTGTCCCGAGGGCCCTTTTCTGGACCCTGGAAGGCAGACCCTATCACTGGATGATCTGGGTGCCACAGCTGGGCTCCTTCCCTGCGAGTTTTGACCCCTCCACTCCACACCTTCAGATCTAGAGCTCCTGCTGGGCAGCTCCTCCTGGGGTGGGGAGGGGATGTGAGGGGGGCTCCAGCCATGCTGCTTCCTCTCCTTGATGTGGCTTCTAGCTGCTGCGATGACTGATGAACTGGATGCCTCTTGTGAGGCTCCCGAGGCTAGCCCAATTAGCCAGCTCTTTGG